GGAGGGAAAAGAAAAAAAACAGGAGAAGAAAAAGAGGAGAAGAAAAAGCCTGCAAGAGGATATCTAAAATCAATAATCCAGCAAAAACTGCTAGCATTTGTATTTGGAGCCCAAATTGTCGTCTGCTCCCAGGAGATCTGGAGGGAGCTGAGGAGCACAAAAGATTTAGGTGTATGTTGCTCAAGGACCACCTTCCCACCCCAGACCTCTGCACAGGACTAGAAAGTCCTTAAGAATGGCTTCTTTACTACCTGAGATTGCTCAAGGAAGCAGATTTGCTTCAATGCTGCTATAGATACCAGCAGGCATGAGCAACAGAGGGTGATGATCGTGCAGGAAAGAGAAAAATGAAAAGAAATAAAAGATGGCCCCAGGAAGGATGTTCTCAGGTTCCACCCCTCTACCTTTGAAGAGACACTATTAGTGAAGAAAGTTCCATCCTTTCCCCCAATAAACAGCCATAAAACTGTCTGAAGTATATATAGGATATATACTAATGCAGTGGTCTCCAACCTTTTAACACCCAAGATCACTTTTTAAATCTCAGAACAGGCGAAGATCTACTGCCCCGGCCCTTCCTTCAAGCCCTGCCTCTTCCTTGAAGCCCCGCCCTCTCTATTCTCCTCCTGTCCATCACTTGCTATCCCCAGCCCTTACTTACACACTGATAAACAGTTTTTTTAAATTATGTATAAAATTAAAATCACGTGTTTATAGTTATGAAATAAATGTTTTTTATTCATGCTATTTAAATCTAAAATGAAGCATTTATAATTATACATTTTGTGGGGACAGTTCTGTGGTGGGGGGGCAGGGAAGAGGGAACAGGGTACTGGGAGGGCAGAGGACAGGGTTCTGCAGCATAGGACAGAGTGCCAGTGGGGACAGGTTTCTGCCGGTGGGGACAGGAATAGGGACAGAGCTCTGTAGCTGGGAACAGAGGAGTGGGAGTGGGGACAGGGGAGTGGGGACAGAGTTTTGTGGCTAGGGACAGGGGAGTGGGGACAGCGTTCTGTGGCTGGGGAGTGGGGTGCCAGTGGAGGCAGAGAGTCCCCTGCATCTTCCTCCTCCCAGGATTCCCCCCCCCCGAGGGAAACCAGTGTGTGCCTGCCCCGGGGCCGACCCCCCCCCCGCACAG